TTCGAACCGAACCCTTTTATTTAGTTCATGGTGGGGGGGATAGATTCCTGGATTTTTCAGTTTCAGTTATTTCCCTTTAGTAACGCCATGTTTTTGTTCACCTCTGCTGTGGCCAAGTATTGAAATCACAACCCTTTGATTCAAGTCACTTTTAGATTACTTCAACACATTTATCCACTAGGCTATGTAAGCTTGAAGACATCAGTAAGTATGCCTCATAATCATTTTTTACCAGAGCTCATATTATAATTTTTGTTATTACCGTTTTTCTCTCGCTCTCTGTATTACTCGTTCTCATATTCATTTCTATGCTTGGTCGGCTCAGGAGATTTTTTTTTTTAGCATATGTGCTGATTCCTTTAGTTTTCGTATTTTCTAGTGATGTTCTCTGTTTATTATTTCAACCTCATCCCTTTTTCCCTCCATATATGGTCAGCCATTCCTAATGTTTTTATTTCTTACTTATGTTGTTTATTTATGCCTCTTGTTTATTGTAGCTGCTATTTTGTTTAGTGCACATTATATCTTTATTTTAAGCGCCGTACTAGACTGGGGTCGTGATCACATCAATTTACAGTATAGCAGTCTAGATGTAACCGTAAATTCTATGCTAACTGCTTCTTTACTCGCACTTCTCACTTGTGGAACTCCCTTCCGACTCCAGGCTTTCCAGCCAGCTTTAATCTCCAAAAATTTAAATGCAATGTCAATCGCTATCTACTGTCCTCCTGATTACTCTTTTCTCTTCCCGCACATTATTAATGTTTCTGTTCCTAATTCTTTCACACCCAGTAATCCCTTGCGTCTTAGTGGCTTTAATGCCTTACCTGTTGAACTCCTTTTCAGCTGCATGCTTTTCAGCCAACTTTAATCTTCAAAAATGTAAATGTAAACATTTTTTTCCGTTTCTTGCATCTTTTAAAAATGCCCACACGAAACGTCAATCGTCATCATTCGTTTCTCGGAATCATTTATCCTCTGACGGCAGGGTTAGGCTTAGGGTGAGGTTTAGGGTATCTTTCCCACTCATTAAACGCTTGCCTTTTCGTTTTTTTTATCACCTTCACTTGAGGTTAAATGATTTAAAAAAAAAAATCTATTCAATGAGGATTGCTTGCATTCATTCCTTTCCACTGAAAAAAAAACAAAAAAAACAAAAAAAAACCTTCTTCCTGATTTTCAATGCATTCCCTATAGTAATAAAACAAAACAAAATCTTTAGCAATCATTGAGTTAAATGCCATTCGTGATACACGTTAGGGCGATTATGCCTCTTTCGATTTGTGATTGAATCGGCAGAAGATTTTCCCGCAACAGGCGACCGTTCCTTTTTACGGTACACCGGTTTACAATCAAAGCTATGAGACCCAGTCTGTCTTACTATTCAACCCATAGCTGGGGGAGAAGAGATGGGTTCATGCCTTTTCCAAGGGATATTCACACGTAAGTGAATGCAACGAAACCGATAGGAATTGGAACACCACTCTCCGGGTCGTTAACCATTACCCCACACAGTACACATTAGCAAGGCATTTACATAGAATATAATAACCGAATTAATAGTAATGCTTGCATTCGTTCCTGACCACCGACAATCCCTTTCTTTGTGATCTTGCAAACCTATAGTAAAATCCCTGACAATACAGTTGTATTCTACCTATAAAAGTTCCGCTCCATGAGCAATATTTGCCGCTGACAACACTGGTCAACACGATTTTTGGTACCAAGAAATAAAACACATTTTTTAGCTAATTTGATGGGGGGGGGTGCTGATTCCGAAAATCACCTTGGTTTTTATGGTTAGCTACCATTTTTGCTGTACTGAAATTGCTCATTTTTGGAAAAATGATCAAATTACGATCTTGGCTGATCGCAAAATTTAGTTAATAACGGTCGTAGAAACCCATCAATTTTCAGGTAGGTCGACCAATTTATGTCAGCAACCTGAAATAAACTATTTTTTTAAAAGTGATTTTGAGTCAAAACTTTTAAAATAGAAAATACCGAATTTTTCCAAATCATCATCAAAATAAAAAGTAACTGATAAACTTTATCAGTAATGCAATTTAGTAAACCTGATTATTAAGGTGACATCAAAAACATGAAACCCTAAAATCTTGTTTGATATTCATAAATTCATCCCATCACTTTTATTCCTTCACTACGGAAGGAAACCAAGCACATTGAGAGCATTTTGTTTTCACAGTTGGAAAGAAACTCCGATTAAAGACATCCCAATTGAATGCACCTATTCCATTGTATATGATACTGCTGGAGTATCAAAAGGGACTTAAATAACATTGAACATGACAGACAATCAAGAAAGAGAAAAAGTTATGTTCACAAAGGTTTTATTTCTGATGTTAGTTTATTAAATGACTTGATGTAAATACTTTTTGGTATATTCAATCGTGTTATTTTTAAAGACTTAGGGTCTGATTGTTATTGCAAAAATAGTGTTTCTCAATAAGCAATTTGTTGGTTTAAATTCGAATTGAGAGGTTTCTACGATTTTGAGAAATATTGCCATCGGCCAATATCATATATACAGAAAACAAATGAAAAAAATGCTTTCCAAAAATGAGGCATTTCTGTACAACAAAAACGGTAGCTAACCAAGAAAAAGTAAGGTCATTTTCAAATTCTGCGATCTCAAATTATCTAAAAAAAATGATGTTTGGTGTCTCGACACTATTTCAATCTTTTTTCTTGAGCAATGAAATCGCTTACTTCGCCGTTTTCGATGCAATCCAATGATAAAATAATTTTCAAGTCTCAAATGCGGAAATTTTTAGTTTTCTTGTATAATCAAATGTTTATCATCATCGCTAAAACTTCAGAGCTGGCACACGCACATACGTACACATATGTGTGCGTGCGTATGCGTGAGTGTGTGTGAGTGTGTGTGCGTATATGTGTGTGTGTTTGTGTATGAATGTCGATGTGTAACAATCTTGAACGGATCTCTTTGTTCTCTTGGCAACTCTGTTTTCATGCAAATTACGATTTGTCTGTGAGCGGACACTTCGGGACGGAGAGTAGCGAAACATTCCGGAAGTTCCCGAAGGCAAAATTCCCGCCTTTCGTGCGTCAAACGATGCTGATCTGGGAATAACCCAATTGAAGAGAAACTCTCCACTGAATACAAATGCGAAGTGTGGAAAAAAAAACAAAAAACAATGTAATAAGGAAGACGAATCGAAGAAAAGACAAAGAATGGTAAAGAAAGAGAATGAATGGGAGAAAAAAATAAATGAAGAACGAATCTGAAAGAAGAAGAAACGAAGAAAAAATAGAGATGTTGAAGAACACAAGAAGTAGTTAATAAGGTATATGCGTCTGTATTGAGCGTTGGATTAAGTACATTGACAAAGAACGAGATGATGTTGAAAAATAAATATATATTGTGTAATAAAAGGTTGTATTTCTTCATTAGGCTGGAAACTTATTGATGTACGCACGACTCTGACGAAACAAAAATTCGGTCTAAAAACCGGAAGGAGATAGGAAAATGAAACGAGAAAGACATGTTTGCTTATAGTGAGAAAAAGAAGGTAGGAGAAAGAAAATGAAAAAGATGAGTAGGAGTGGGAGTGAGAATGTGCATTGCTGAATAGGGGAATAAAAGAAAGGAGGAAGAGAGGACAGAAAAGCAAAGAAATTTTAAAGAAGGAGACAAAACTATTTAAAGTAGAAGAAGAAGAAAGGAGAACCTAAAGTTGGAGAAAAAAGGAAAGAGAAAAACGATAAATAAAAAAGAAAATAATGAAAATGAGAGAGAGAGAGAGAAGTCGAGAGAAAGAAAGAACATGAAAGATAAGCAAATATCATTAAAAATTGTGCTGGGTTCGACGGTTCAGGGTGCCTTGTGGGACGTTGGGAAAGTGGGTGTTCCTTTCTACGGACGGCCAGGTAGGAAGCAACCATTATTCGGGCGTAAGATCTAATTACATCTTTTTCAATAAAAGACAAAACTGATTACTAAATTTTAATTCTTTTTCGACAGTAAAAAAAAAAGCAATCATATTATAATTCCGCGTGTTCCTTCGTTTCTCAGTTAGCACGGCCATTATGCCCTGCCAATAGCTTATAAATAACGGACTATTCCGTTTTGATCACCGAAGAAAGAGGAAAAACACATATCAAAGACGCTGTCTGGTTTCAGCGAAAAAAAGAAAGAAAGAAATGCAAAACGGAGGAGGCGATAATGCACTTATGTGATTTACGTCTGCTTCAGTAAAATAAACAAATTTAACAAATGTTTATAATTTTAATTTTAATATCTTTTTATTTCATTTTAATATTTTTTCATTTGTACCCTCTTAATTACTAAATATTAATTTAAATATTACAATATTTGTTAAAGTTGTTAAGATCAAATATTTGACGATACAATAGAGGGATTTCCATGGCTATTCTATAGTCGTGGAATATGTTTCGATGAAGATTTATCGATGTTACTAACGCAGACATAGATGATCTTAACATTATTTTTGTTAATTTTTTTTTTTTTTTTTGGTGACTGATTATCCATTCACCATCACTAAAGAAAAATATGGCCCGTCCCTTAAACGGTAAATGTATGACTGATAATATTGTATACGAATCTAGTATACATTCCGGTAACGACGTCAAATTTTATTTCGGTTCCACTAAAAATCATTGGAAATTTCGTTTCTACCATCATGTAGTAACTTTAGGCAATATAAAATATATAAAGAGCTATTCTCTCAGCAAATTTCTAGCAATTAAAGAATGGTAGTAATGCACCCATTATTACCTGGGATATTGTATCAAGAGCCAAATCTTACAATGACAAAGGCGATATATCTAATTTATGATTCTTGAAAAAATAGTTATCTTAAAATGCTTAAGTAAAACTGGCTAATTAAACCAGAAAAATTAATTGATGGTTACGTGTAGGTATAAAATAAATAATAAATATCTGCTGAAATACGTTGATACAGATTAATTTTTAATGTAAATTATGACCTGTTATGACCTCAACCACATAGAAAATTTATGGAGCATGTTGCTCAACTGCTTTCTCGAAAGCCTGTACTTTATAATGCTCCATAATTTTTCTATGGGGTTGAGGTCAGGAGATTAGGGCGGCCATGTCATAACGCTCACCTACTTCTCATCAAAGTATTCCTTCATCAATTTTGATTTGTGACAGGGAGCATTATCCTGCATAAAATGAGATTGGTAGGGTCGATTTGCACCCTTTTCAGCAGAAGGCAGCAGACAAGACTCTAAAATTCTCTTGTACTGCTCGCTCCTGAGGGTCTTTTCAATAGGTTTTAAGAAACCAGTTCCATGAAAAGAAAAGCATCCCCAGAACATTATACTGAACGGATGCTTGACAGTACTTACTGCTAAATTCAAAGAGCTTTCAAAGCTTCTTCTTCGGATTTAGATCGCTAATCCTTTGAATTTAGCTCAACTTTCGTTTCATCGGAGAAGAGAACATTTAGTAAAAAATCAGGTGAGTCACTTTTTATCGAACAGCACTATATATATATATATATATATATATATATATATATATATATATATATATATATGGTTAAACCAGGAGAGGGGCGTGTTTATTTAGACAAACCTACCAGCCTGTTGTGTGTTTTTTTTATATCCTTTTTCCCCTTGGTATTTTTGATATTTGAAAATTAGAACGAGAAACCTTATTATTATTATTAGGTCTGTCTATATATATATATATTTAAATCTCTAGGTTGCATGGAAAAACTAGGTCTACCAGTGCTCAGAACTACTTACTGACAGGAAGGTATCGAGCACTTTATTTAGTTATTTTCGAAGACCCATCGGGTTACGAATGGTTCGCCCAAAGAAAATTTTGTTTAGTATTATCGCAGGTACGATTGTTTAAACGTCGGACATTTTGAAATAGTAAATAACAGAGTTAATATGGTGGGGGTAGGGTTTGAAAAACGTTCTTTTTCTTACATGCTAGACGATTCACTAATCCTACCCAAACCACGGTTGAAGATAAGACCGACATTTACCAACGACATAGCGGTCTCATCTCGAAGAACCGATTCACGTTTGGATAACCATTGTTCACAAAGTCTCAGTTAAACTTTCTTTTTCAAATAAAATTTATACCTTTTCCCTGAACAAGGAAGGAGTATTGGTTTGATTATTTGATAAAATCAAGACACCATTGTGGGTTTTATGAAGAAAGCCTTTTGTTTGCACCCGAACGAGAATGGAATGGTTTCTTACAAATATAAGATTTCTCTGTGTACAGTGGTAAGCCCACTTTTATTATTATTATTATTTATTATAACACATAGGGCGTTATCTTCGATTTGAAACATGAAATTTTTTACTGATATCCGTTGAATATATATATATATAAATATATATATATATATATTGTGTTATTTTTGCAGCGAAACGAGATTGTTTTTCAAATATGATACACCTAATTTAAACCATAAGCATTGGATAAATAAAAAAACCGACTTCGATTGGGATCAAAAGAATCTTTTTGGTTTTATAAATATCTCAACATTTTGTTTTTGGTACCGGAAGACGATTCGGAAGATTGGAGATCGAATCCAGAGACTAAAATTGCATTCTAGTTTAATGCTTAATAATACAAATATAGTTTTATATATATATATATATATCGACTGCGACTTAGTCAACCCATTCTGCAGGAACAGTCTTCCCAAGAATATACCAAAACTACCTGTAAATATTGTGTACCTTTTTTCATTGTTTCAATACATTTTGTTACGTACATTTTGTGTTGTATTATTATTATTCCATGCTTATTCAAGCTTCAACATATATATATCCCGTTTATTTTAGATGCCAAATATATTATTTTAAAATAATAAACTGTAATGCCGTTATAATATTTGACTAAACCAACATTGCGATAACCAGATATTTTTTTTATTAAAATTTAAATTTCATATCGGTCAGTCTATACTCAGTGTTCTGCATGTGTACTACCGGTGTAGAATAATAGGTATATTATATATATATATATATATATATATATATATATATATATATATATACTAGCAGCATGGCCCGACGTGCTTGATTCAAAAATCGTACGACTCATACAGCAATCGCTATCACTTGACTTAAAATATTCTTGCCCTTCCTTGCCTTTAAAGGAGTGCTCTTTGCCGTGCTGATGTTGCTACATACCTTACTTCTTGCCTATCTCACACTGCGAATTTTTTCTAAGCTCTATACTAAACATTAAAACTGTTACATGAAAAAAGAACTAAACAAAATGGACACAAAACGATCAGCTTTTAAAAAAGGACTCGTAACTGGAAAAACCGAATGAAAAAGAATGTTAACAACAAATACTTTTTCACACCCAACCCAATTCTGCGGAATCAGAATCAACGTTGAGTTTAAGCAAGCGAATGAGCCAATTGGAGTAAAGTGCCATGCTGATTTAAATTTTTTCCACTTGTGACGAATGCAGCTAGCGATTTTTTTGCATGCTAGCATGCTAGTTAACATTCGTGCCAGTCAGCTGTTGGCTCTCACGCTGGCCAATAGAATCTTCCTGCCTATTCGTGGCAGCCAGCTACTGGCTATCACTCTGGCCAGTACAAAATGGCCGCAAACTACATGAAAACTGCCGTAGAAGCATGAAAAATCGATTATTTCCACTATCGATGGGAGTTGGGAAATGCAAAGTCGGTCTTGGCCTTCCCGCTAACTTGGAACATGTGCATGTAAATTTTGGTGCAAATCCGTCGAAAATTGCGGCTGTGCATTCGTTACAAACACATACTGCCTTTTATAGATAGAGATTTGTTGCATATATGTATATATATATACTCCCATCGAATACGACGTATGAGTGTCAAGCAGATCAGTTCATAGGAAACCGACAACCCGACAACAACACATGAGATTTGATTATAGTGGTGAAGGTTTCGTGCAGGACCTTCCACACTTTTTGAAGGGCCGAATACAGAAACCTGGTGCATTACGTGCCACAAGGTTCCCAAACGACCCTTCGCAGGTTTTAAATTCAGAGTTGTCCTTCTCCTAGACCAGTTGCCATCCAGTCTGTCCTGCTATTTACACATAGGTGGAGGGAGAAGAGGATTCGCATCTTTCCCAAGGGTATTAGCACGTAAGTGAATATATATATATATATCCTGTCTTGGTCTGGCTCCGCGAATGAAGATTTATGAAGTGGGCTGTTCACGTCTATTGCAGGCACGTTGATGACCGATGAGGCCGATGCGGGACAGGCATGTCCGGACGCAGCGACTTCAATTAAAGGTCTGGTCGCCTATAGTTCCTTCCTCCTGCTGTGTTTCTCCGTCATATAGTTACCTTCACTCTTCTCTAAAAAAAAAAAAAATGAAAATAAAAAAAAATAGCAAACCTTTATGAAAGAATGCCCCAAATTTAATAAAACAAAGTTTCATCCTCATAATCAAAATATAAAGGACTTTTTCATTCGTAAATTATACCCTTTTTTTTATTCTTTGTAGAAAGTTTGATGAAAAAATCTTGTTTTATTTTCTTCAGCAGGAGGTGGGACGATAAATTAATATAAGAAATTTTAACGACTTTCGCGTTGAAAAACATTGATTTGGAAATTGTTGCAGAAATCAAATAATTATCGGATTTTAATGGAATTTTCAGGAATTATTTCTAAATGAATGAAATTATTTTAGAAATCTTTTTTTCTTTT